CAAAAAGAGCTAACTATCTTAAATATATATGCACCCAATACAGGAGCACCCAGATACATAAAGCAAGTTTTTAGAGACCTATGAAGAGACTCAGGTTCCCACACTATAATAGTGGGAGACTTTAACACCACACTGTCAATATTCGATAGATCAATGAGATGGAAAATTATCAAGGATATTCAGGACTTGAATACAGCTCTGAACCAAGTAGACCTAACAGGCATCTACAGACTCTCTACTCCAAATCAACAGAATATACATTCTTCTCAACACCACATCACACTTATTCTAAAACTAACCACATAATTGGAAGTAAAACACTCCTCAGCAAATGCAAAAGAACAGAAATCATAACAAAGAGTCTCTCGGACTACAATGCAATCAAATTAGAACTGAATTGAGAAACTCACTCAAAACCACACAACTACATGGAAACTGAACAACCTGCTCCTGAATGACTACTGGGTAAATAACAAAATTAAAGTAGAAACAAAAAAGTTCTTTGAAACCAATGAGAATGAAGACACAATGTACCAGAATCTCTGGGACACAGTTAAAGCAGTGTTTAGAGGGAAATTTATAGCACTAACTGCCTACAGGAGAATCAAGAAAGACCTAAAATCAATACCCTAACATCACAATGAAAAGAACTAGAGAAGCAACAGCAAACAAATTCAAAAGCCAGCAGAAGACAAGAAATAACTAAGATCAGAGCAGAACTGAAGGAGATAGACACACAAAAAACCTTTCAAAAAAATCAATGAATCCAGGAGCTGGTATTTGAAAAGATTAAGACAATAGATAGATGCTAGCCAGACTAATAAAGAAGAAAAGAGAGAAGAATCAAATAGACACAATAAAAAAATGATAAAGGGGAGATCATCTCTGATCCCACAAAAATACAAACTACCATCAGAGAATACTATGAACACCTCTAAGCAAATAAATTAGAAAATCTAGAAGAAATGGATACATTCCTAGACACATACACCCTCCCAAGACTAAACCAGGAAGAAGTCGAATCCCTGAATGGACCAGTAACAAGTTCTGAAATTGAGGCAGTAATTAATAGCCTACCATCCAGAAAAAGAGTCCAGGACCAGATAAATTCACACCCAAATTCTTCCAGAGGTACAAAGAGGAGCTGGTACCATTCCTTCTGAAACTATTCCAGACAACAGAAAAAGAGGGACCCCTCCCTAACTCATTTCATGAGGCCAGCATCTTCCTGATACCAAAACCTGGTAGAGACACAACAAAAAAAGAAATGCTCAGGCCAATATCCCTGATGAATATTGATGCAAAAATCCTCAATAAAATACTGGCAAACCGAATCCAGCAACACATCAAAAAATCTTATCCACCACGATCAAGTCGGCTTCATTCCTGGGATGCAAGGCTGGTTCAACATACATAAATCAATAAACTTAATCCATCACATAAACAGAACCAATGACAAAAAGCACATAATTATCTCAATAGATGCAGAAAAGGCCTTCGACTAAATTCAACAGTCCTTCATGCTAAAAATACTCAATAAACTAGGTGTTGATAGAACGCATCTCAAAATAATAAGAGCTATTGATGACAACCCCACAGCCAATATCATACTGAATGGGCAAACGCTGGAAGCATTCCCTTTGAAAACCTGCACAAGACAAGGAAGCCCTCTCTCACCATTCCTATTCAACATAGTATTGGAAGCTCTGGCCCAGGCAATCAGGCAAGAGAAAGAAAGGGTATTCAAATAGGAAGAGAGAAAGTCAATTTATCTCTGTTTGCAGATGACATGATTGTATATTTAGAAAACCCCACTGTCTCAACCCAAATCTCCTTAAACTGATAAACAACTTCAGTGAAGTCTCAGGAAACAAAATTAATATGCAAAAATCACAAGCATTCCTATTCATCAATAACAGACAAACATAGAGCCAAATCATGGGCAAACTCCCATTCACAACTGCTACAAAGAGAATAAAATACCTAGGAATATAACTTACAAGGGATGGGAAGGACCTCTTCAAGGAGAACTACAAACCACTGCTCAAGGAAATAAGAGAGGACACAAACAAATGGAAAAACATTCCATGCTCATGGATAGGAAGAATCAATATCGTGAAAATGCCATACCAATTTATAGATTCAATGCTATTCCCATCAAGCTACTACTGACTTCCTTCACAGAATTAGAGAAAACTACTTTAAATTTCATACAAAACCAAAAAAAAGGCCATATGGCCAAGACAATCCTAAGCAGAAAGAACAAAACTGGAGGCATCACGCTACCTGACGTCAAACTGTACTACGTACGGGGTATAGTAACCAAAACAGCATGGTACTGGTACCAAAAACAGATATATAGACCAATGGAACAGAACAGAGGCCTCAGAAATAACACCACACATCTACAACCATCTCATCTTTGACAAACCTGACAAAAACAAGCAATGGGGGAAAGGATTCCCTGTTTAATAAATGGTGTTGGGAAAACTGGCTAGCCATATGCAGAAAACTGAAACTGGACTCCTTCCTTACACCTTATACAAAAATTAACTCAAGATAGATTAAAGATTTAAACATAAGACCTAAAACCATAAAAACCCTAGAATAAAACCTAGGCTATACCTTTCAGGACATAGGCGTGGGCAAAGACTTCATGACTAAAACACCAAAAACAACTGCAAAAAAGCCAGAATTGACAAACAGGATCTAATTAAACTAAAGAGCTTCTGCATAGCGAAAGAAAGTATCATCAGAGTGAACAGACAACCTACAGAATGGGAGAAAATTTTGCAATCTATCCATCTGACAAAGGGCTAATATCCAGAATCTACAAGGAACTTAACCAAATTTCCAAGAAAAAAACAACCCCATCAAAAAGTGGGTAAAGGATATGAACAGATACTTTTCAAAAGAAGACATTTATGTGACCAACAAACATATGAAAAAAAGCTCATCATCACTGGTCATTAGAGAAATGCAAATCAAAACCACAATGAGATATCATCTCATGCCAGTTGGAATGGAGATCATTAAAAAGTCAGGAAACAACAGATGCTGGAGAGGACATGGAGAAATAGGAACGCTTTTACACTGTTGGTGGGAGTGTAAATTAGTTCAACCATTATGGAAGACAATGTGGCAATTCCTCAAGGATCTAAAACTAGAAATACCATTTGACCCAGCAATCCCATTACTGAGTATATACCCAAAGGATTATAAATCATTCTACTTTAAAGACATATGCACACATATGTTTATCACAGCACTGTTCACAATAGCAAAGACTTGGAACTAACCCAAATGCCCATCAATGATAGACTGAATAAGGAAAATGTGGCACATATACACATGAAATACTATGCAGCCATAAAAAAGAATGAGTTAATGTCCTTTGCAGGGACATGGATGAAGCTAGAAACCATCATTCTCAGCAAACTAACACAGTAACAGAAAACCAAACACCACGTGTTCTCACTCATAAATGGGAATTGAACAATGAGAACACATGGGCACAGGGAGGGCAGCCTCACACACCAGGGCCTGTTGGGGGGTGGAGCGCAAGGGGAGGGATAGAATTAGGAGAAATACCTAACGTAGATGATGGGTTGATGGGTGCAGCAAACCACCATGGCACATGTCTATCTATGTAACAAACCTGCACGTTCTGCACATATATCCCAGAACTTAAAGTATAATTTAAAGAAATGAAAGAATGACTTTTCATTTGCAGACAAAAGAATACTAATAAATTGTTTAAAACGTTCACTGCCTCCCTACTAGCTAGCAAGCAACACCCACGCTCCTTGGTAAGGTATGCCTCACAACCTCTCGTCCCCAGACTCATCTCTCTATCTATATGCAAAGCCAGGCAGAGATCGTGATTCAGCAAATCTAGGCTGAAACTTACATACTTGTAGTTTAAAATGAAAGAAAAAGAGAAATAACCCAGGAAATTCTGTTGTGCAGCCCAGATTCCGGAATTCAAACCTCTGATTTATAAATGAGGGAATTTCAGCCCAGACGGTTATTGAAGTTGCCCAAGGTTGTACAGTTCAATAAGAGAAACTGCAAGTCCTTCTTTAAAAAAAGGACCTGACCTCCTCAAAAATAGGAACTACAATGCCGCATCCTTTATGCTCCTTGTTTTTCCTTTTACCTTGTTTTTAGCTTTTATCCAAATGAGGTGGATTAGATACCTCAAGAGCATTATTTACTCATTTGTTCTCTGGCAAAAGTACGGGTTTTATGCTTGACTTTGATATATTTGGCTTGGAAACCTGAGAATTTCTGGTCACAGACTCAAAGAACTATGAATGCCTCCTTGCTCTCTCTGGTACTGTTCTGGCCTTTCTTCTACATTCCTCATTTCAGGTATCTCTTCATGCTTCTGAACATGTTTGATCTAGGGCTTCTCAAAGTGATTCTGGTGCATTACTGTAGAATTTACCACCTGGTATAGACAAAAGTTCTTTAGAAAAGTTTGAACTGTAAGCACACAACTAAAGTTAGAGAAAGGCAAGTACCTGGCATGATGGTGAACTAAGCTATGACCAGGAAGAAGCTAAGGACAGAGGCTTGGAGTCAGAAAATCGTGAGTGAACATCTTGTCTCCACCCTGTCTGGTGAGTGTCACTGGAATGTAACTTGTTCCCACATGTAAAGCGCATCACAGGATCTTGAGAATTAAATGAGCTAGCATATATAAAGAACTTAACACATAATAGCAGTCAATGAATTGTAGCTAGCAGTAGTAGTTTAGCATGGTACTAGCAGCAGTAGTCGTAATATGGTCTGAATCTGTGAGTAATGGAAGAAAAAAGTGAAGCTTGCTGGGTAAATGTGGTTTGGGAGTAAGGCCATGAACAGCCAGAGGTGGTGCGGGTTGGAGGAGGCCTCCTTTCAGGAGAGACATCCCTTTCAGGAATGGAGTAAAATTGTAAGGAGGACTGGTGCTACAGGAGATAAGACAGACCAGACAATACATAAGTAAATCTTACCTCGCATGCCCAGCAGGGACTGTTACACAAAGGTAGGTGACATGACTCCAAAATCCTGGCTGCCTAGTAAATGCTTTACTTCAATCAACAAACACATTTGTATTAAACATCTGCTCTGCTCCAATCACACGGGTATACAAGCAAAGAAGTACTCCAGCTCTCAAGGATCTTACTATCTAAAGGAAACATAAATTAACATAAATGAACAATAGTCACCAATTAGCTTAAAGGAGTGGGCATCTGGAAAAAATTCTGACTATTTTTTAAGATGGGCTATTCCTTGCCAATATTCCCAAACAAACTCACACTATCCAGTCTTTCGCTTTATCCAGTTTCTTAAAACCACCTTCTCCACAAGATAAGCACGTGTAAAGGGTGGTAAGCCAATCTAATAGTTATATCTAAAAATTTCTTGACTAAAAATTTCACTTGTTAAAGGAATTCACAAATGGTTGTGCTTGGAATTTCCTTCTGGAGTTAGTATTCATCCATCAATTCTCTCATTTTTGAGTGGCAATAATCTAAAGTGAATCACAAAAACACACAGCTCGTGACCTCACATCTTTTTTACTAAAATTAGGTCATTCCCCTGTATTTACCCTTTTGGTTTTTTTGGTTTTGGGGGTTTTTTTGTTCGTATGTTTTGAGACGGGGTCTCACTCTGTCACCCAAGTTGGAGTGCAGCAGAGCGATCTTGGCTCACTGCAACCTCTACTCCCCAGGTTCAGGCGATTTCCCCACTTCAGACTCCCGGGTCGCAGGGGCCACAGGTGCTCGCCACCACATCCAGCTACTTTTTTGTATTTTTGGTAGAGATGAGGTTTTGCCATGTCGCCCAGACTGGTCTCAAACTCCTGCGCTCAGGTGATCCAACCACCTCAGCCTCTGAAAGTGCTGGGATTACAGGTGTGAGCCACCGCGCCCTACCGAATTTGCCCTTTTGAATATCATGGCATAAACTACAAGTTTTACCTCCAAATACAGCATCTGAAAGGGAATAGAATATTTACCTAATGTTGGCTTATTTTTTCTTGACTGGATGAACTAATTTAGTGACTAAGGCTAAAAATTCTGAAAGTGAAATAATTTTAGGTTATTCTTAGCAAACAAGTATTAAGGTTTAATTCTTGCCACAGAAAAATCAATTATATGTAACATTTCAAATTTGATCCAGTGCCTTCCACAAGAAGTGTATTATGAGACCTTCCCCAGAGTAGTTTTTTACTCTATGTATTAGATGTCTCACCCATAAAATCCTCACTTCAAGTGATACATAAAAACTGATAAAATTGGTAGAAGCTTAGATACTATTCCTTAACAAACAAGATTTGATATTTTTGTAAAGCTACAAATAATTGTCCTTATTTAATGAGAAATTAAGAAAGAAAAACGAATACTTTATATTCTTGAATGTTACCAAACAAGAAGCAACTAATCTCCATTCCACAAAAGTAAAGATCTGAAAAACTAGAGTTAACTGCCAAAAGATTCACAAGAGATCATGCAAATATACTCACTAACATTTCATGGCAGTACTCACTACTTTTGACAAGGATAGTACGTGAATATTTGTAAGATTATTGTTACTCTAAGAGTTTAGATTTATAATTAAATAGGGAATTATAAAAGATATTGATCTAAAAATTTTCCCATCTCAGGAATTCTGATCTGTTTAGAATACTTCACAAAATTTCAAATATCCCTGAAAAGACATTATTTCAAAGTTATTACTTAGCTATTCACTAGAGAAAACAGACACGTGGAAGGTATACAGTTTGTACTGCACATCACAGTATTAATTTAAAAAAATATATGATGAGGTCAATATAGTAGGTAAAAAACTATGCAGGTAGATCCATAATAGTTACATCAATTTCTCTGCTAAATGCTTGATTTTTGCTTATTACACGAAAATATAACTTATGAAGTTATATTTATAATAGCCAGGTGTGGTGGCTCATTCTTGTAATCCCAGAACTTTGGAAGGCCAGGGCAGGAGGATTGCTTGAGCCTAGGAGTTCGAGACCAGTCTGGGCAACACAGTGAGACCTCATCTCTGCAAAAAGTCAAAAAATTAGCCGAGCATGGTAGCATGCACGTGTAGTCCTGCCTACTGGGGAAGAAGACAGGAAGGAAGATCCCTTGAGCCAGGAGGTCAAGGTTGCAGTGAGCTGTTACACCACTGCACTCCAGACTGGACAACAGAGCGAGACCCTGTCTAAAAAAACAACAACAGAAAAGAAGTAGATACATTTCTTATCTGACACCTAGATAATCCATGGATACTGAACCAAGAGATGTTTTTCCCATCATCATATTAGATTATTAACTCTATGGAAAGAATAAGCAATTTTATTTCTTACCTTCAAGGACCAATAATTCTTGTTTTTCTACTTTAAGGATGGTAAAGGGAACACTTATTAACTGGGAAATCTAGTCAAAGTTTCAAAATGCAATTCAACTTTGGATATGCCACATCTATTGACATAAACTGCAATTCTGTATTAATTCTGTGAAGTTATACTGAGCAAGAGGTAAAGAAAACCTTCTTAGCCAATGTGCTAAATGGCTGTTGCCCCTGTTTTCCCCTGTTGTGTTATGAAATGTTCCATACATGGGGCCTATGTCATTACTAGATCTGTTAACAGTTTCACAGCTGAGTTTGGCTTCATTTGTTAAGAATCAAGCTGCCCCATCACTTGTATAGAGCTGAACAGGCTGTTATGGTTTATAACGTAAAACTCACAAAAGTGCACAGCTGCTGTTCATATTCTTAAAGAAGTCTGTTATAATAATGATGTCACGGAAAAAAGCTGGAACCTATTATGTGTCCCAGACAGTTAGGCCATTCAATCTCTCCAGTCAATGCAGGTATACAGGTTGCACCATAAACATTATGGTAGCATTACAATAAGGCAATAAGTTCATTTTTAAAAAAAAATCACTGAAGGCCAGTAATTAGGTCCTCTCTATAGTTCTGCTTTCAGTAAGCTTCACTTACCGCTAGAACTAACCAAAAACATCATCCTTTCACTATCTAACACCCTATTTGAACCACAGAGCTTTGCAAAACTTACATATAATTCCCTTGAAGGAAAACTGCACATGGTTGTCTAATTTCTCTTTAGTTATCCCATATATGTCTACACAGTAAGCATGAATTGAATCATGTTCTCCAGGGAAATGCAAAGCAATAATGTATTACTGATTTTAAGATCTTACATCTATGTATTTAAAATCTGCTACCACTAACTATGGCATGTAATGTTAAGTAGCTTCATCCCGGATCAGAAGCAGATATGGAAGAGGAGTCCAGTTTCCTAATTTTAGTATTTTTAAAATAATAAACCATATAAACAATTTCCAAGTGAGAACTTTTTAATGACTTAAGAATATGTAAATATTTCCTACTATAGGTTGAGTATCCCTTATCCCAAATACTTGAGACCAGAAGTGTTGCAGGTTTTGTAATTTTTTGGATTTTGGAAAATTTGCATACATATGAGAAATCTTGGGGTTGGATCCAAGTCTAAACATGAAATTCATTTATGTTTCATATATACCTTATACATATTGCCTGAAGGTAATTTTATATAATATTTTAAATAATTTTGTGCATGAAAGAAAGTTTTGTGTTAAGTGCTTATGTGGGAAATTTTCCACCTTGTGGTATCATGTCAGTACTCAAAAAGGTTAGGGTTTTGGAGCATTTTGGATTTAGAATTTTCAGATAAGGGATTCTCAACCTATGTATACATATGCAACATTTTAATTACCTTTAATTCCAAATTAGAGAAGAGAAATTTCAAAATCAACTATGTAATTTATAACTATTAAAATTATTGGAATGTTCTTGAGATAAAAACAGAACAAATTCAGGACAATTAAAAAGCCCTACATTCTAGTTCCAAATCTGCCATTAACTAGTTGTTTAATCTTGGGCAAATTATTTACAGCATTCCATTTCCATTTCTTTAACATGAAGAGCATGAGAAACAATGCTATAAAAAGTTCCACTTTCCCACGATAATACTTCTCAACTTATAGTTACTAGGTATAAAAAACCAAGAATCAAAACAATATCTAAGCCTTACTTGCTTGGTACAGGGCACTATCCTAAGCATGACACACATATTAATTGCTTTAACTTTCAAACAAACCTATGCAGTAGGTACTATTATTATCCTTATTTAGACCTGAAGACACAGAGGAGCCGATATACTGAGTAGATTATCAAATGTCACATAAGTAGTGAGTGGAAGAGACAGACTTTGTATCCAGGCTGACTGATTTCCAGAGCCATCTCTTTTCACCTCCATACTACTCTGCATATACTGGGATATTCCTAGAATGAGGAGCACTAATTGGTATAATTGTCTAGTTAAAGGGAAAGGGTCAAAATTTAATTGTGGAAGGCTGATGACTGAAGATACTGCAGTGCCTTAAGAACTCCGCCACGAATAGCAACTCTACAACACAGTTTCATGTATATGTGGAGAAAGTGTTAGATAGTTCCCTAGATCCTGATCCATTTGATTCTGCCCACGAAATGCAAACATATACAGTGCTACAAAGAAAAGCATATTTATCTGCATGAACATATTCTATCCTATGCCTACAACTCTAAGGCAACATTTCTTAACACCTGCTGGTTTTTGGAGTTGTACTATGAGGCTAGAATTCAATTCAATAATGGCATGTCACAAAGTGACAGCAATAGTTAAATTTGGTATCAGCTATAAGATGACATTTAAACATGATATCTGTTACATATAGCTACAATTGGAAAACGATATATTTCAACAATGATTATTTATAACTCAGGGAAAACCCTCCTTATCAGCATGGGAAACTGTGTTATTTAATTTACTGCCTATTAAGACTTATTTGATTGCGTAATAATAAGTAAAGAATAGTTTTTTCTAAGTAGCATGAATAATAAAATTTCCAGAGGTTCTAAAGTTTGTTTTATTATCTTGACAAAAGTGTAATATAGTCATACATGTTCTCATTTATGAAAGTGTAATACAGTCATACATGTTCTCAATTATGAAAGTATAATACAGTCATACATGTTCTCAATTATGAAAGTGTAATACAGTCATACTTGTTCTCAGTCATTTATGAAAGTGTAATACAGTTATACATGTTCTCAGTCATTTATGAAAGTGTAATA